TTTTCAGGCAACGCTCTCCGGATCCGAACAACCCGCTGCGTGGAAGAAGCTCTTGTCACCTCCCCTCTGGTGCTTTGGACAACTCTCTTAGATCTGTGACGTCCGGTCAGCGCTCCGCCCGCCAGAGCTTCACTCTGTCAAATCCCCTAATAATTGTGTCTCCCCTTCGCCTTCTTTGCCCCGAGGAGCGTAATCCCAGCTTCTCCAGCCTCTCCATCCCCCGGTGCCTTCGCCGCTTACTCCCTTTCCTCCTTCAAGGCCGGTCTCAAGACCTTTCTCTTTGACCTTCAGCCGTCAGCTCCCCTCTCGACTCTCTACCCCCTCCTCGCTCCCTCCCTCCCTCCCTTCCCTCCCCTCACCCTGACCATTTCCTCCCCTCCTCGCTCCCTCCCTTCCCTCCCCTTCCCTCTGACCATTAACCCCCTCCTCGTTCCCTCCCCTCCCCCTGACCATCTCCCCCCCTCCTCGCTCCCTCCCTCCCCTCCCCTCCCCCTGATCATTTCCCCCCAATGCTCGGGACCCGACCCAACTGTCCAGCGCCTCGGGACGTCCTCCCGACGTGAAAGGCGCTCTATAAATGGAATCTTGTTGTTGTTGTTGTCGTCGTCGTCTCCTGATCACTGCAGCCCCTCGTCCTGCAGCTCAGCGGTTAGAGCACTCGCTTTGCAAGCGAGAGACCCGAGTTCAATCCCCGGGAGGTCAGGGCGAGACCTTGGGCAAGTTTCCCTACTCCACGCGCCTTATAATGATCCCTCCAAAAAAAAAAGCAATAATAAATTGGTCATTTTTCAATCCACGACTGTTTTTGTGGGACACTCATCGCTGTGTGCAATCGGCCGCCGCGTTCGCCCACAAATATACAGTCGATTCACTTTACAGTCTGTCCTGTGAAGCGCTTTGGGACGTGTATTCTATGCCCTATTTATAAAGCCTCGTGACCCTAAAACAGCTTTATCTCCCTGTCCCGCCACCTTCAAAGAGGTGGAGGGAGGGAGAGAGAGAGAGAGAGGGGGAGAGAGGAGAGAGAGGGGGGGAGGGAAAAGGGGGAGAGAGAGAGAGGGAGAGAGAGAGAGGAGGGAGGAGGGAGGGGAAGAGAGAGAGGGAGAGAGAGAGGGGGGGAGAGAGGAGAGAGGGGAGAGAGGAGGGGAGAGAGAGAGAGGGAGAGAGAGGTGGAGGGGGGGAGAAGGAGGGGGAGAGAGGAATGAGGGGGAGAGAGGAGGGGGAGGGGGGAGAGGAGAGAGAGGGGGAGAGGGGGAGAGAGGGAGGGAGGAGAGAGAGGAGGGGGAGGTGAGAGGGGGGGGGAGAAGGAGGGGAGAGAGGAGGAGGGAGGAGAGAGGAGGGGGAGGGGGGAGGAGAGAGAGAGAGGGGGAGGAGGGGGGGGGGGTAGAGGAGGAGAGAGGGGAGGGGGGAGAGAGGGAGGAGAGAGAGAGAGGGGGAGAGAGAGAGAGAGGGGGAGAGGGGGGGGGAGAGAGGAGCGCTGGGATGCTTGGAAATGTCAGCTTGGTTTGGAGAGTCTTGAGCACGGTGATGGGTTTCAGCGTGTGTCAGACACCCGGCTGAGCAAGATAAACAATTCAGGGCGTGGGTTCCAGACTCTAACAACTCTCTGGGTAAAAAATAATATCTCCTCGTCTGGTCTCCCCTCTGGTTCTTTTGCCAATCCCCTACACCCACCCATCCCCTCTACGGACCCATCCCCTACACCCACCCATCCCCTATACGGACCCATCCCCTATGCCCACCCATTCCCTTCGCCCACCCATCCCCTAACCACACCCATCCCCTACACCCACCCATCCCTTACCCCCACCCATCCCCTACACACACCCATCCCCTGTAAGGACCCATCCCCTACGCCCACCCATCCCCTACACCCGCCCATTCCCTAATTTACATTAACCCACAGTGAGAGTCACAGACAAAGGCTCTCAGTCCCACTCTCGGAAGCTAACGGTGGTGATTTGCCTACAAGTAAATAAGTTAGTCTGTTTATAGATCGAGAGCCGCACTGGAGCAGCCACACTGTCCTGGGCACGGCGGAGAGTGAGGACCTCTGGAGGGTGAGTGTGTGGGTCATTACCCCCATTCCCTCCCTCACTCTCATCCCCCCAACACACCACCCCCCCACCTCTCCCCCTCCCGCCCCATGTCAGGGCTGATGATGTGACACTGTGCTGGTGGGAGAGGGGAGGAATATTGTTTGTTAACTCTCATAATGAAACGTCTCGTGTTTCCTGGTGAGTGAGGGTTTTACAGTGAAGCGTAGTGACTGTTTTCTTGGGAAAGGCGGCTGTTGATTCGATCCGTGATGTGAATAACCAAATGTAGTGACTGTTTTGTGGGCAAAGGCGGCGGTTGGTTTGATCAGTGATACGAATGATCATGTTTTATCTGGGGATATTGTTCAACGGGACATGAGGAGAGAGAAACTCTCTTCCAGTTCTCTCTCTCTCTCTCTCTTTTCTCTACCTTTCACAATCTCTCTCTCTGTCTCTTACTCTTTCTCACACACACGCTCTTTCTCTTTATCTCTCGCTTTCTCTTTCACTCTCTTTTTTATCTCGCAAATTATTGTTCTGATTTCAGAAGCTTTGATGTACGATTAGATATTTTGAGAAAATGTAAATTTGCTGTTCATCTGTCTCACAGACTCCCATTCCATGTCTCTCTCTCTCTCTCTCTCTCACTCACTGTCCCAATCTCTCTCTGTCTCCCCCTATCTGTAGGGGAAATAGAGAGAGTTCTGGAGCTCGGCCGTTAGAGCACTCGCCTTGCAAATGAGACACCTGGGTTCAATTCCAGGCAGTGGGCGAAACCTTGGGCAAGTTTCCCGACTCCACACGCCTCATAATAATCCCTCCAAAACAAAACAATAATAAATTGGTCATTTTCAACCCACGACTCTTTGTGGGACACTCACTGCTGTGCGTAATTCGCTGCCGCGTTTCGCCCACAAATATTTTTCGATCAATTCACTTTACAGTCGATTCTGTGAAGCACTTTGAGACGTCGAGAAGACGTGAAAAGCGCTATGTCAAATGCAAGGATTATTATTATGATATTGTTATTATCTCCGACACTCTCTCTCTCTCTTCCTCTCTGTCTCCCCCTATCTCTCACACCCTCTCTCTCTTCCTCTGTCTGCCTCTTTCTCCCAAATCACTCTCTCTCACACACTTTCTCTCACTCTCCCTCTGTCTCCCTCCATCTCTCGCCGTCTGTCTCTCTCTCACACGCACACACTCACACTCAGTCTCTGTGCCCAGTAACGTCGCCGCTTGTGTTGCAGACGCTGTTGTTGGTCCCCAACCCCCGGGTCACAATGAAGGACCTGTTCCTTCTGCTGTTGGTGCTGGTTCCAGGTCAGTCAACTCCCCCCTCACTGTCATTCCATATTTACCCCCCACACAGCACATCTGTCCCCACTCCACACACAGCACATCTGTCCCCATCCCACACACAGCACATCTGTCCCCACCCCACTCCATCACTGGAGGCATTGCCCGCGGTTCTCTCCTGTCCCCACACCCAGCCTGTAGCTCACTGGTTAGAGCGCTCGCCTTGCAAGCGAGAGGACCCGGGTTCGATTCCCGGGCGGGTCAGGGCCAAAGGTAAGAAATCCTTAAAAAAAACAATTTGGGGTCACTCAATCGGCGACTGTTTGTGGGACGTTGCTGCGCACTATTGGCTGCCGTGTTTCCCTCACCAAATATATACAGACAATTCACTTTGCAGTGTATCCTGTGAAGAGCTTTGAGACGTCTCAAAGACGTGATAAGGCGCTGTGACAAGTGCGAGGATTATTATTATTATTGTTGTTGCTAATAATATTTTCTCTTCCCAGCTCTGTCCATCCAAACCCTCATACCCAGCCCCGCCCCCTCCTGCTGTCACTCACTGGGCTGTCCAGCCATGAGGGGCGGGGCTGGAGGACTGACCCTCATGCTCAGCTCCGCCCCCTCCTGCTGTCACTCACTGGGCTGTCCAGCCATGAGGGGCGGGGCTGGAGGACTGACCCTCATGCTCAGCTCCGCCCCCTCCTGCTGTCACTCACTGGGCTGTCCAGCCATGAGGGCGGGGCTGGAGGACTGACCCTCATGCCCAGCCCCGCCCCCTCCTGCTGTCACTCACTGGGCTGTCCAGCCATGAGGGGCGGGGCTGGAGGACTGACCCTCATGCCCAGCTCCGCCCCCTCCTGCTGTCACAAACTGGGCTGTCCAGCCATGAGGGGGGCTGGAGGACTGACCCTCATGCCCAGCTCCGCCCCCTCCTGCTGTCACTCACTGGGCTGTCCAGCCATGAGGGGCGGGGCTGGAGGACTTACCCTCATGCCCAGCTCCGCCCCCTCCTGCTGTCAGTCACTGGGCTGGTCAGCCATGAGGGGCGGGGCTGGAGGACTTACCCTCATGCTCAGCTCCGCCCCCTCCTGCTGTCACTCACTGGGCTGTCCAGCCATGAGGGGCGGGGCTGGAGGACTGACCCTCATGCTCAGCTCCGCCCCCTCCTGCTGTCACTCACTGGGCTGTCCAGCCATGAGGGGCGGGGCTGGAGGACTGACCCTCATGCTCAGCTCCGCCCCCTCCTGCTGTCACTCACTGGGCTGTCCAGCCATGAGGGGCGGGGCTGGAGGACTGACCCTCATGCCCAGCCCCGCCCCCTCCTGCTGTCACTCACTGGGCTGTCCAGCCATGAGGGGCGGGGCTGGAGGACTGACGCTCATGCCCAGCCCCACCCCCTCCTGCTGTCACTCACTGGGCTGTCCAGCCATGAGGGGCGGGGCTGGAGGACTGACCCTCATGCCCAGCTCCGCCCCCTCCTGCTGTCACAAACTGGGCTGTCCAGCCATGAGGGGCGGGGCTGGAGGACTGACCCTCATGCCCAGCTCCGCCCCCTCCTGCTGTCACTCACTGGGCTGTCCAGCCATGAGGGGCGGGGCTGGAGGTCTTACCCTCATGCCCAGCTCCGCCCCCTCCTGCTGTCACTCACTGGGCTGTCCAGCCATGAGGGGCGGGGCTGGAGGACTGACCCTCATGCCCAGCTCCGCCCCCTCCTGCTGTCAGTCACTGGGCTGGTCAGCCATGAGGGGCGGGGCTGGAGGACTGACCCTCATGCCCAGCTCCGCCCCCTCCTGCTGTCACTCACTGGGCTGTCCAGCCATGAGGGGCGGGGCTGGAGGACTGACCCTCATGTCCAGCCCCGACCCCTCCTGCTGTCACTCACTGGGCTGTCCAGCCATGAGGGGCGGGGCTGGAGGACTGACCCTCATGCCCAGCTCCGCCCCCTCCTGCTGTCACTCACTGGGCTGTCCAGCCATGAGGGGCGGGCTGGAGGACTGACCCTCATGCCCAGCTCCGCCCCCTCCTGCTGTCAGTCACTGGGCTGTCCAGCCATGAGGGGCGGGGCTGGAGGACTGACCCTCATGCCCAGCTCCGCCCCCTCCTGCTGTCACTCACTGGGCTGTCCAGCCATGAGGGGCGGGGCTGGAGGACTGACCCTCATGCTCAGCTCCGCCCCTCTTCACAATAACTAAAAGTTTATAAAAATGATAATTTTTTCACCCAATCAGTGACTGTTTGTGGGACGTCGCAGCGCACTATTGGCTGCCGTGTTACGCCCACAAAATACAGTTACTACACTTTGCAGTGTATCCTGTGAAGAGCTTTGGGACGCCTCGAAGACACGAAAAGGCGCTCTGACAAGTGCCAGAATTATTATTATTATTATTATTATTGTTGTTAATAATCTTTTCTCTTCGCAGCGGTGACCATCCAATCCCCGGACAGAGAGTATCACAGGATCGACACGGCCAGAACCTGGGCTGAAGCCCAGGACCACTGCCGCAGTCACTACACGGATCTCGTGAGCATCCGGAGCCCAGAGGAGAAGAGCCTCATTGATCCCCTGTTTGTTGGCGGTCAGTGGGTCTGGATCGGGCTGTACAATAATGACCAGACTGAGGTCGGCTGGAAATGGTCAAGTGGAGACAACGTCAACTATACTCACTGGGGACATAGGGACCCGAATGATTACATGTCCGGATCAGTCTGTGTCACTGTGCGCAACAGTGGAGATGGTGATGGTGTTTGGATTGACACTGAATGCCATCACAAACACCATTTCGTCTGTTTCACAGGTAATGAGTGTGTGGCTGACACGACACGTGAGCCCCGCCCCCTCCTGCTGTCACTCACTGGGCTGTCCAGCCATGAGGGGCGGGGCTGGAGGACTGACCCTCATGCCCAGCTCCGCCCCCTCCTGCTGTCACTCACTGGGCTGTCCAGCCATGAGGGGCGGGGCTGGAGGACTGACCCTCATGCCCAGCTCCGCCCCCTCCTGCTGTCACTCACTGGGCTGTCCAGCCATGAGGGGCGGGGCTGGAGGACTGACCCTCATGCCCAGCCCCGCCCCCTCCTGCTGTCACTCACTGGGCTGTCCAGCCATGAGGGGCGGGGCTGGAGGACTGACCCTCATGCCCAGCTCCGCCCCCTCCTGCTGTCACTCACTGGGCTGTCCAGCCATGAGGGGCGGGGCTGGAGGACTGACCCTCATGCCCAGCTCCGCCCCCTCCTGCTGTCACTCACTGGGCTGTCCAGCCATGAGGGGCGGGGCTGGAGGACTGACCCTCATGCTCAGCTCCGCCCCCTCCTGCTGTCACTCACTGGGCCGTCCAGCCATGAGGGGCGGGGCTGGAGGACTGACCCTCATGCCCAGCCCCGCCCCCTCCTGCTGTCACTCAATGGGCTGCCCAGCCATGAGGGGCGGGGCTGGAGGACTGACCCTCATGCTCAGCTCCGCCCCTCTTCACAATAACTAAAAGTTCATAAAAATGATAATTTTTTCACCCAATCAGTGACTGTTTGTGGGACGTCGCAGCGCACTATTGGCTGCCGTGTTACGCCCATAAAATACAGTTACTACACTTTGCAGTGTATCCTGTGAAGAGCTTTGGGACGTCTCGAAGACATGAAAAGGCGAATGTGGGGTAAGAGATTAGAACGGTCCCCTGTACAGGGCCCGTAACTCCCACGTGTTTATTTCCAGAGAGAAAGACACCAACAACAGCTCCGTCCACTGCCGCTCCTGAAACCGCCCCATCCACAGCCGCCAGAGACACCTTCACCCCATCACAGAGCCCAGCGACCGAGCCCACCTCCCGCTCAGAGCCAGGTCAGTGTCCATGGGCTGCCCGTCAGGGGCTGTGTTTCTGACGGTGGCTCCGACCAAAGTTCCTCCGTGACTTCAAACCCTCCCGTTCATTCCCAATTCTGGTCTTTCAGATCCACACACCCTTCACCAGAGCTCGGACTCTCCTCCTCCACCTTCCAGCTCCCCTCCTCCCAGCACTGAAGCACCTAAAGTGAGTCATGAGGCCATCTTTACCGGGACCCCCAGTGTGACAGGTTAGTAAGTGTTCACTAGTCTTTACTGTATTGTAAACAGAGGTGTGTGTGTGTGGGTGTGTGCGCAGTAAGGAAATTTGCCCAATGTATTGCCCTGACCCTCCCGGGAATCGAACCCAGGTCCTCTGGCTTGTGAGGCGAGTGCTCTAACCACTGAGCTACAGGACTCCACCAACAGCTGGAGCCGCACTTGGTAACCGTTCTTGTGTCTCCACAGATCCACAGCCATCGGTGACTCCCAGCCAGACACCCGCGTCTCGTCCCGACACCCCAAGTCCCCACTCAGCAGATACATCTCATTGGACAACACAGGAACCCTCCACTGTTGACCATCCTTCCAGTAAGTGCCCGGGCCGTTGTCTAACGTGAAAATGGAGGGAAAATTCCCAACAGCCCTTAGGAATTCCCCAGCAGTCATGATAATAATAATAATTAATAAAGGTGGCAACGATTCTGTCATGAATTGCCAAGCGGTCACTGTTTAGCAGTGACGAGCGTATATAGTTATATTTGTTTTGGAGAGCCGGGTGTCTGACACACACGGAAACCCATCACCGTGACCAGCCGGGTGTCTGACACACACGGAAACCCATCACCGTGACCAGCCGGGTGTCTGACACACACGGAAACCCATCACCGTGATCAGCCGGGTGTCTGACACACACGGAAACCCATCACCGTGATCAGCCGGGTGTCTGACACACACGGAAACCCATCACCGTGATCAGCCGGGTGTCTGACACACACGGAAACCCATCACCGTGATCAGCCGGGTGTCTGACACACACGGAAACCCATCACTGTGATCAGCCGGGTGTCTGACACACACGGAAACCCATCACCGTGATCAGCCAGGTGTCTGACACACACGGAAACCCATCACCGTGATCAGCCGGGTGTCTGACACACACGGAAACCCATCACCGTGACCTTGCAGTTGGTGCAATTTTACCCCGAGAGATTATGATGGTCAGTAACTCCCACGGGATTATTAACAGAGGAAACCACACCAACAGCTCCGTCCTCTGCAGCTCCTGAAACCACCCGATCCACAGCCGCCAGAGACACCTTCACCCCATCACAGAGCCCAGCGACCGAGCCCACCTCCCGCTCAGAGCCAGGTCAGTGTCCATGGGCTGCCCGTGAGGGGCTGTGTTTCTGACGGTGGCTCCGACCAAAGTTCCTCCGTGACTTCAAACCCTCCCGTTCATTCCCAATTCTGGTCTTTCAGATCCACACACCCTTCACCAGAGCTCGGACTCTCCTCCTCCTCCTCCCAGCACTGAAGCACCTAAAGTGGAGATTCCCGGGAACAGCACTATCACAGGTAAGGACACCGTCCGCGGGTCTCTGGGGTTCCGGTCGGTGATGATAAACCCAGGTCTCCGCTGCTCTCGCCCCACAATCCCGCCTCCTGAAA